GTAAGTTAGTAGAAACAGTGGCTTTAACACTAAGTTTATTTCCAATAAGAAGTTTAAATTGCTTAGAGACTATAAATGATAGTGTGAAAGGTAGTTCCTGGTCCTAAAAATTGTGGAATCTGAATGTAACTTAGATTTGAGTTTGTATTTAAGAAATAATTTATAACTGTACCAGTCTACATTCAAGAAAATGTGTACATTTCTGTTCCATTGCTTGAAAGCCCTCTGTTCTGATTCCAGTAGAGCACAGTTGGTAAAAACGTGGACTTTTTGGATTTAGACCTGGATCCACTTTCTGGCTCCTCACTTTCTAGCTCAGTCATCTGGGAAAAGTTCCTTACCCTAAAGCTAACTCTATTTTTGTAAAATGGAGACAGTAATAGAATCTATATGATTTCTGAGGATTGAATATGGTGATAAATGTCAAATGTTTACCAATAATGCTGGGCATACAGAGTGTGCTCAAATGATAATCGTTGTTCATTATTACTAATTATCACTATATCGACCTAGTCCAAGCGTTCTCAGTTAATAGCATGTTTGCTGAGAAAAGATACTGTGTGATATCCAACAGGCAACGAGAAATCATGGACTTCCAGTTTTATTTCAACATTCCTTCAAGAGCTCCTACACTAGGCCCAAAAGTTTCTATCAAAAATAGTAAATAAATAATTTTAACTTCTTCTATTGGAAAATTTCTGGGGGTTATATACTTGCATCATGGAGAGCAGTGAATAAATAAATCCCTGACCTTTAGATTCATTCTGAGTTCAAATCCCATGTCTTGTGCTTCTAATAGTGTAATGTTAACCAGTTAACTTAATCTCTCTGTACTACAGTTCCTCCCTCTATAAAATGAACATGATAATAATACCTGTATCATAGGATTGTTACAGGGATTAAATGAGAGCATGTAAATTGCTTAACACATTTCTGTTTGTAAAATAAGAGCACAGTAGAAAGTATGCCATAATCGTTAAGTGAGAGGTTGTGTTTAAGGTAAACTTTAATGTTTTTTGTTTTGTTCTGTTTTTGAAATAAAAATACCTAGACTTGTTTAAAATCCAAACAGTACAAAAGGATATGAAGTAGAAAGTGAGCCTGCCTGACACCCAGACATTCATAGTTTCCCACCATCAAGCAACTGGTGTTTTCAATTTCTTGTGTTCTCTTCCTGAGAGAGCCCAGGCATGTACAAATATGTATGTATCATTTAAAGATACAACTGGTTGAATGCCAGGTCCACTATTCTGCACTTGTTTTTTGCACACATATCTTGAAAATCTATTAGTTTATTCGTTCAGTTATTCAACAAGTAGGTAATCAATCTTAAATACTTGACAAGCCCTGTTCTAGGTTCTGGGGTGCAGATAAAGTGCATAGTCTCACAGTGCTTACATTTTAGAGGGGGAAAAAGCAATAAATATGTAACCAAATAATATATATTATCCAATTAGTCTAGAGAGGAAGAAAATAAAGCAGGAGGGGATTGGAAAGGCAAAGGCAGGGTGACATTGTTTTGAATGGAATCTATAGAGAAAGCATCTGTGAAGTGACCTTTGAACAGAGACCTGAATGAATAACTGAGGGATTAAGATTTGCCAAAGAGAAGAGAAAGTGCGAAAGCCATGAGGTGGGAACAAGACTGAAGTGTTAAAGGAACACTGAGAAGGACAGTGTGACTGAAACAGAATAATCGAGGGAGAGGATAACATTTGAAGACAGGAACGGAGAGGTAGACAGGGGCCAGATGTCGAACTTACAGGGCAGGCAAGGAGTTTGCATTTTATTCTTATGCTGAGAGGTCATTGGAGAGTTGAGAGCAGAACCAC